TGATTTGTGGCATACCAAGTTGTAATCCTGTTTCATTTCAAATCACACTTTATATCAATATACTATCTCAATTTTAAAAAATGTCTTTGGATTTACCTTTTTCCTCAATGTCATCTTTAAGATCCTTTGGATTTTCATTTTTGGGTTCCAAGTTAGTATAGAATATCCTCAACATCTGAAAAATAAGTGTTGTACTTTCGTGGTGTTCATTGAGGTATCTATTCACAATTTCCCTTACGTTAGGATACATGACACATGTTAAATTCAAGACTCTGAATAAGTTTCCTTTATCAGTCAATAAAAGGTTAGGTGAGCATAAGCTCTGCAGAATGGCGTAGACTTGTTGAACTTTTAATTCTTTCTTAGCATTAAGTGTCCAGACCACTGTATCGAGTTCAGGAACCTTTTTATGCAAAAGATCAATATAAAGTCTACGAAATGTTTCAGCATAAGCTTCATTTCTTTGAACAAAGCTTCTGATTTCCACCCTGCTTAAACCATCATGTCGTTCCATATGAAGAAGTAGGTGAAAGCTGATCCTCTTTTGCATGTGTGTACCACTTCCATCCATCAATTGTTCGATATACAGAAACAAGTGTTCTAAGATCGTTGATACTTCTTCTTTTCCGAAAGGAGTTCCTAGGTTGATGAAATACGGGATAAGATGGGCTAAGTAGTCGAGTTTTGGGTTCGTCGTGTACGTTTTGATATACTTTTTGATTGATAACAGAGTTGATGCTCTTTCGATTCCCTCCCACATTGCTATTTCGAAATAACGTAAGTAGCCAGAACTGAAGAAAAAGAGAAACATTGCTCTCACCATTTGCTGATATAGTATCCCTGCTGCCATATACCAACACTTTTTGAATAAAGCTCGCAAGTCGCGGACCTTTAAACCATCAAACATTTCAAGGATCAAGCATCAGTTTCCAAATTTCGGACGAGAAGATGAACTATTTTGGATGAGCTTCACCATGAAAGATATCGGACTCTAATTCTGCCCGCGAAGGAATAAGACTATCCAGATCAGTGGGATCAAATTTCTTGTTTTCTACCTCATCTTTAGGTGCAAGGTATGAAAGGATTCCAATAACCCACAACCTTGATGC